CTATAATTATTCCATTTAAAGCTCTAAGCAGCAACGAAGGAACTTGTAAACAGTGGTAATTATTTGATCTTGTGATGACAACTATGCTCACAGCGTGTGACTGAATTAAAAAAAAAAAAAAATCATCCTGCAGTCTTCTCCAAAACACTGCAGGAACTCTTGATCTCTCTTTATTTTTTTTTTGAGACAGAGTCTGGCTCTGGCACTCAGGTTGGAGTGCAGTCAAGCAATCACAGCTCACTGAAACCTGCCACACCTCAGCCTCCTGAGTAGCTGTGACCACAGGCATGCACCACCATGCCCAGCTAATGTTTGTATTTTTTGTAGAGACAGGGTTTACTTGTTGCCCAGGCTAGTCTCGAACTCCTGAGCTCAAGCAATCTACCCGCCTCAGCCTCCCAAAGTGCTGGAATCACAGGCATGAGCCACCATGCCAAGCCAGTGCTCATTTTTCAAACTGCAAGTCAGTACCTACTAGTGGGTCATGAAATTAAATTAGTGCATCTTGACCAGAATTCTTGAAGGCATTTGACAGAACAAAAAACTTCAGAGCAAATCTCAAAAGACAGGGGTAACCGAGAGTGTCAAGGCAAAATGCTTCATGCTGTGGGTCAGGGGAAAAGAGTCTGGAAGTCACTGATGTAAAAGCTCTGAACACTAACGTGAAAGGCATGTTCCAAGTGCCCGACTTACATCAGATTATTTACTGACCTTAAACTAACATGCCCATAGAAATATTGTGCCAAAGTGAGAAAGCGGTGCAAGATGATGGCACTGACGACAACATATCATCATATTCCCCCGCCACAGTGATGGAGAGAGTACCCAGAATCGCAGCAGGAGGGTGGCCTTATAATTAATTACGATCATCTACCAGAGCCCTAAACCAAACTACCTCCAATGACTGCAATGGAAGGAATCTCCTTTGCACCCTAATGTGCCATCTCAGCCTTCTGTCAGTGTCTCGGTTTGTGGACTTAATTCTTTTAAGAGTTGGAAACGTTTTAAAGGAAGTCAGATAAAACCTGGATTTCTGAGAGGGAACCTAGGTACCACTGCCAAGTTCCACCTCAGAAACCAGTTTCCATCTGTAGCAAGTACCAGGAGTAATGATCCCTTAGAGGCCACTCCCAGCGTCCCAAGAGGGGCCCTGACAGCAGCAACCCTGCTCCGACGGTAGGAAAAAAAAGGGTCCCTGGGCAAACACTGTACTAGTTAGGAATAATCTAAAAATGGGTTCTCAGGTCCTCACCAGTGGGCCAGAGAGGATGCAATGCCACTGGATAAACGTGGGAAATTTTCCTGAAACATCCGTGGGGTGAGTTAGGTGGGGAGGTCATTCCTAACTGACAGCAAATAGTTCATGGTGCATAAAGTAAAATGCACAACTGACAGAATGAAACAAGATGTTAAAGAATGGGCTCTGCCTGCAGAAGATCTCTTCAGTCTGGCCCAAAGACTTGGTCGCAGAAGCACTGGTATAGACAAGCTCTAGTCCCAAATGCAATGCTAAATCCTAAAAAAGCTCCTGAATCCAACCTGAGACACATCATTTTGCTGACATCGAATTATGCATGAGCCATGAGAGATGACGGTCATGGTATCTAGGTGACACCATGGTATCTAGGTGACACTCACTTGACTGCCTGTTCAGAAGAGCGATGGAGTCTGAGAAAGTAAAATGTCAGAGTGGTGGATGCTTTGTTTGTTTGAGGGTTTATGATACAAAGTCATCCGCAATTCTTCTTTTTCTAACCTAATGCGATAGTAAACAGATGCTACAGGGCCTGCTGTGCCTGGTATCTTGCAGCAGCAGTTTTCTTTCCAAAACTTTATTTAAATAAAATTATAACAAGACTATCTTAAGCCTCGTCATCCTGGCCATTTCTCCTGGGTACCAGGTGCTGCCCACACTGACCTCCAGAGTTCCCAGGTCTGGGCTCAAGATGCCTCCTCCTCCAAGGAGCACTCCTGGGTCAGCTGTCCTGTGTTTCCATGGTTCCCAGCTTCCTGTACGCTCCCCACCAGAATGAGATGGCAGCAGGGACACAGTGTCCAATGCATAAAAGGCATTCAAATACTTGGAGAATCCCTGACTCGTTCAGGGAAATCTTGTGGCTGGGACACGAAAGGGGAAAGGGAGGGACAGTATAGCAAAAAGTGCAGCCTGCATGACAAAATTAAAATATGAATGTACATTTTAGCAAACTAAAGCAGAACAAAGATGAGTTTTATTGCATTTATTTCTACTACGTGATTTAACACACCACTTTTTGCACACATGGTGCTTTTTATTTAAACACTATTTAAAATTTATTAATCATCAATCATCACAGGAGCCACTGAAAAGCTAATTTTATATGGAATTTTTACAACAAGATAAAAACATATGCATAATGAACTATCAAGTCCCAGACACAAACATGGTTTCACTTAACCCTTACAAAAATTCTGGAAGGGGTTGTTATTCTCTCCATTTCACAGATGAGAAACTGGGGCACAGAGAGGCTGATTTACCTCTGCACAAAAGCTCAGGGCCAATGTTGTGGGTCCAACAACCATTCTGAGAAGACAAACATTGCTTGTGTTACCTTCCACGCTAAGAGAACAAGGCTCTGAAGAAAACGCCCAAAGACCAGAATAGGCCTGAGAAGGTAATATCTAAAGGTCATTCTGAAGGAAGCCGAGCAAAACTTGTGAGTTACTTTCAGGGAATAGAAAAAATGCTTTCTTCTCTTCCAGGTCTCCAGATGCCTTTTGTCATTTGATGCTCCCCCCGGCTTGCCCAATACAAAAACCTTGGGGGCTTGGGTATCTTCAAGGAGATGGCTCTGCCCTGCTGATTCAGTCCCACTGTGTCTGGGATCCCTGCTCTATCCTCTTTCCAGCACAGCCCCTGAAGAAGAAGCCTCAGCAGGACACTTGGTCACCTCCAGCTACTGTTGCCAGAGCTGCCCCTGCTGGAAGAAGGCAGGCTCGGGTGCTGGGAGAAGCATCTCAAATAACTCAACGGACTCACCAGACCTCTCTCTGATCTGCTCTTCAGACCACATCATTCCCCAAGGGCCAAAGCCAAATTTCCTTCTTCCACCTGAAGAGAAAGGTCCAGTTCCACTTTGCCTCTATTTCCTAACTACCCAATTACGCCTGCTCAGTTTTGCTGAACGTTGGCCCATCTATTCAGTCCTCTCAACACCACCAGCTTTCCTGGTCTCATCTGGAAGACATTCCATTTGCAAATCTTTTGCATATCGTTTCTCCCCATCACACTCCACCCCTGCTCCCCCCTAGTCCAGTATACCAAGAGTTCCTCTTCCCTGGAGACTCTCCCAAGATAAGGAAAAGGGAGCTCTGATGGATTCACCTGCTCTGATGGATTACCTAATGGCTGAAGAGTGGGTATGCCTAAACTGCACTGCAATTATCTGGGGCTGGGACACTAATTCTTCCTCAGGATAACACCACATACATGGTGATCAAAATTATTGCAAAGCTTTTCCCTGATCTTCAATAAATGGGAGGCTTTAAACATTCCATGCCTATATGCTATACATTCTTTTTCCTGCAAAGGAGTGTGTTCTTCCTAAGCAATTCATTAAAAATACATCCATTAAATACAGAGACTGCAATCACTTAAAATTGTATGCTACAGATGTCTTGCTTTTTTCTGGTGTCTGAACCTGACATTTTTTAATAACCCAAAGACCTTAAAAAAATTAAAAATATAGGCCGGGCGCGGTGGCTCAAGCCTGTAATCCCAGCACTTTGGGAGGCCGAGACGGGCGGATCACAAGGTCAGGAGATCGAGACCATCCTGGCTAACACGGTGAAACCCCGTCTCTACTAAAAAATAAAAAAACCTAGCCGGGCGAGGTGGCGGGTGTCTGTAGTCCCAGCTACTCGGGAGGCTGAGGCAGGAGAATGGCGTGAACCCGGGAGGCGGAGCTTGCAGTGAGCTGAGATCCGGCCACTGCACTCCAGTCTGGGCGACAAAGCGAGACTCTGTCTCAACAACAAAAAAAAAAATTAAAAATATTATCTGCACTCAGCTATAAGAGATTCTAGCTCTCCATGAAGTTTGTTTCACTTATATTCTTTTTTGGTTGTATACTTACTTTTCATCAAACGCCTGAAACTCCATATAGAAGGAAAATATAGGCTGGGCACAGTGGCTCACACCTGTAATCCCTGTACTTTGGAAGGCCAAGGCAGATGGATTACCTGAGGTCAGGAGTTCGAGACCAGCCTGGCCAACATGGCAAAACCCCATCTCTACTAAAAATACAAAAAAAGTAGTCATGGTGGCGGACACCTGTAATCCCAGCTATTTGGGAGGCTGAGGTGGGAGAGTTGCTTGAACCTGGGAGGCGGAGATTGCAGTGAGCCAAGATCGTGCCATTGCACTCTGGCCTGGGTGACAGAGCAAGACTCGGTCTCAAAAAAAAAAAAAAAGAAAAGAAAAGAAAGCATAAAAGAACACACAGCAGAGCTTTGGCAATCCTGGCACTGGATTGGACCCTGAAAATAAATAATTTACTTATATAGTTTTTATTTTATTTGCTCTGAAAGGTAAATAAGTACCTGAAAAACACAGAAATTTTACTTGCTGCAGGTAAGTTTTTATTGTTATTCTCTCTCACATACCTAAGTAAAGGCACTGCCTTCTAAGAATTGCATAAATGTTAATGTTCCGTTTTTTATATTTAAATTATGTCTGACAGCACTAAGAAACCCTTTGGAGATTTTCTAGTAATGCAGCTGTGCAAAATTGGGGACTTCTCATTCACCTACACAGGCACAGTTAGTACACACACACACACACACACACACAGAAACAGACATACATGTAGAAAATCAGAAACATCACCAGAGATACACTCAGATACTCACACGGAAACAGATACACGCAGACCCGAATGCACACAGACACAAACAGGTATTAATCAATCTGTGTATCCTCACAACTCATTCCCCAAAGCAGAACCGCCAAATGGCCTTACCTTCAAAGTGAAACTCCACCCTTCCACAGAAATGGCCTCTAATCAGTGCCTCACCCACCACTTCTGTGCTGGTGTCTGGACAACCCTGCGACTGTCCTGGTACTCAGCATGAGATGCTCTCAGGTGCTGAAGGAATTTCAGCTTTTATAACCCACACAGGCTGGCCAAAATTGTATAACCGCACCACCTCATCAGAAATGCTATTTGTGTTACACAACAGCCACCACCCGGTTACAAACGTTACTGCATGCCTCTGTTACGGTCTCCTTAACATCAATCTGTACAGCCAGTTTCTCCACGGCAGGCTGGAGAGTCTATTGTAGAAACCAAGCAGCTGCTGAGAATATATGTCTCAAACCTGCACTAACAAGGAAGATTAAAACCTATCTTTATAAACCCTGCAGTTCAGATGAGTAAGTCCACCCAGGCTGCTTCCAGCTCAGTGAAAAGGGGGGTTAATTTTACTCCCTGGTAAGTTTCCATTTCCCCAATCAGGGTCCAAAGACAATTGTTTTCAGAGCTCAAAAAAATTCAGATCTCAAGGTAGGAGCTCATCATTAAAGGAAAAGCCAACAAATAACTGTCACATTGGAGAACTGACTGCTGGGGTCCAGTTCAACATGGCATTCAGCATGCAGGTCCCCACTGATTCCTACCAAACAGTGGACATACCCATGCAGACAAAAGTGGCGAAGGCACACTGACAGTCTAACATCAGGACTAGGAAAGAAATCACACCTGTGGCCAGACTTTGCCCTTCCCAGTCCTGACTCCAGGCCAGGGCCTGCCAGGAACCTGGGCAGTGGGCACCCTCTGCCCTGTGGAATATGCAAATACCTGCCTCCATCTCCCTAACACCACACTGCCCTTCCCAAATCCAGAAAGGGAACTCGAGGCTCAGATGACAAACAGCCAGGCAGAAGGGGCATCGACCATCAGCAAGGGACATCTTAGAAATGGGAGTGCCTGAGATAAAGACAGAAAAAGAACCAGGACAATTCCTGGAGAAAAGCAGCTGTAAGTATTCCTCATTCACGGAAACTTTGAGGAGCTCAGCATGGGGTAAGAGGATAACACCACCTAACCAGAAGTGATGCCTTAGTAGAAACTGGGGAGAAGGTTGGGAGCAAGGCGCTTCAACTGCTTAGGGCAGGAGACCCACCACCACAAATGCCCAGAACACAGGTCGGCACATGACACATCCAGCCCATCAGCTCAACACGTCCAGAGGAGCCGAGAACTGTATTCAGGACATGCTGTGAAGACTAACATCAGAGAAGATTTGTTGCAGGAGCCAAAAGAAAATTAAAACAAAAACACACACAAAAAAACCCACAGTTGGACTAAAGGAGGAAAAACATTTTTTAAGTTAGTATTTTTTTTAAAAAGGAAACAAGATCGACAATTATATGGAGAAAATGAATCAAGAACAAGAAGCTGAGGTAGGGAAGAACTGTAGGGAAATGAAGAGTCAGCATTAACTCAAGAGCAAGCAGAGAAATGGCGTCACAAAAGACTGAAACGGAGGTGGGTGACAGACCTGAGAAACTCTGAGAGACAAGGAAAAGTACAGAAAGGCTAAGGCTATTCCGAGACAGAGCTGGGCAGGAAAAAGCAAAGAGCAAGGCCAAATTGTGACTCATCAATGTCTTTCAAGCAGACTTAGAAACAAAAGGGGTAATGAAGCCAGTTGTGCTGTACGATTCCATTTACACAAAATGTCCACAGTAGGCAAATCCACAGAGACAGAAAGTTCATCAATGGTTGCCTGGGGCTGGGGTGGGAATGGGAGTGACTATTCATGGGTTTTAGGATTTTTTGCAGGATGAAAAAAAGTGCTAAAATTGTATTGTGGTGATGGCTGTACAGCTTTGTGAATAACTGTATACTAAAAACCACTGAACTGTATATTTTAAGATGATGACTATCATGGTGTGTAATACACCTCAATAAAACTTTAAAAAAAAAAACAAATGAGGTTGGGTATGGTGGCTCACACCTGTAATCTCAGCACTTTGGGAGGCTGAGGCAGGCGTGATCACCTAAGGTCAGGAGTTTGAGACCAACCTGGCCAACACAGTGAAACCCCATCTCTACTAAAAATACAAAAATTAGCTGGGTGTGATGGCACGTGCCTGTAATCCCAGCTACTTGAGAGGCTGAGGGCAGGAGAATCGCTTGAACCTGGGAGGCAGAGGTTGCAGTGAGCAAAGATTGCGCCACCGCACTCCAGCCTGGGTGACAGAGCAGAACTCTGATTCAAAAAAAAAAAAAAAAGAACAAATGGAGCAGACTTAAAGAACCTAATATAAAAAATACAGACTAAAAAATTATTCTGAGATTAAGAAAAATCTGAGCAAAGGGACTACAAGGGCATTCTAGGTTCATGCAATATCATATACTTGGACACATCCTAGCAAAATAATTTAACCACAGGATGAAAGAATCGTAGACACATCCAGGGAGAAGGAGAAAATGTTTGGTTTGCTTAAATGTTAGCTTGAATTAAGCTTAGCTCCTGGGTTGTCCACAGCAGTATTAAATGTCAGAAGACAGTAACACAAACACAAACTGAGGGAAAGGTCTTACCAAGGAATTTTACACCCAGATAAGGTGCCCTTCATGTGTGAAAGCCAAACAAGACAGTTTTAGATGTGCATGAGCTCAAAGGAAAAGGAGGGAAAGAAAGCCTGAAGCTGTATCCAACCAGGTTGGAATATAGAAGTGAAATTCACAGAGGCCACTAACTAGTATACAAGGCTGCTAAGCACGGACGCTAAAACCATCAAGGTAGGGACAAAGCTAAATAATGAGTGTAAATCTGGTTATAAAACTTAATGCATAAGCCAAATTGCTCTCTAAATATATGCTATATAAGAAGTGTAATTAAATAGGCCGGGCACAGTGGCTCAAGCCTGTAATCCCAGCACTTTGGGAGGCCAAGGCGGGCGGATCACAAGGTCAGGAGATCGAGACCAGCCTGATTAACATGGCAAAACCCAATCTCTACTAAAAATACAAAAATTAGCTGGGAGTGGTGGCATGTACCTGTAATCCCAGCTACTCAGGAGGCTGAGGCAGGACAATCACTTGAACCTGGGAGGCAAAGGTTGCAGTGAGCCGAGATTGCACCACTGCACTCTAACCTGGGTGACAGAACGAGACTCAAAAAAAAAAAAAAAAAAAAGCCAGGTGTGGAGGCTCATGCCTGTAATCCCAGCACTTTGGGAGGCCAAGGCGGGCGAATCACAAGGTCAAGAGATCAAGACCACCCTAGCCAACATGGTGAAACCCCATCTCTACTAAAAATACAAAAATTAGCTGGGAGTGGTGGTACACGCCTGGAATCTCAGCAACTCGGGAGGCTGAGGCAGGAGAATCACTTGAACCCAGGAAGTGGAGGCTGCAGTGAGCCGAGATAGTGACACTGCACTCCAGCCTGGCAACAGAGACTCCATCTCAAAAATAATAACAATAAAATTAAATTAAATAAAAAAAGAAATGTAATTTAAATAAAGCAGACAGAAAAGATTACATTAATAAAGACTGAAAAGAGACAGTAAGAAGATGCTAAAGCCCTTCTCCCAAAGAGAAAGAATCATAGATAGGCCTTAACTATGACAATTAGAGAAATGAGGTTTTTTTTGTTTTTCACTTAAAACCAGTATTAGAATTTGAAACAGAACACAGACTAAAACACAGCTAGACCTATAAATGAGTTAAACCCATTTAATTAAAAATACTCAGATTCCATCAAAAAATAAATGCCAGCCGGATGCAGTGGCTCACGCCTGTAATCCTAGTACTTTGGGAGGCTGAGGTGGGCAGATCACTTGGGGTCAGGAGTTCAAGACCAGCCTGGCCAAGATGAAGAAACCCCATCTCTACTAAAAATACAAAAATTAGCTGGGTGTGGTGGCGCACACCTGTAGTCTTAGCTACTTGGGAGGCTGAGACAGGAGACTCGCTGAAACCCAAGGGGTGGAAGTTGCAGTGAGCTGAGATTATGCCACTGCACTCCAGCCTGGGAGACAGACAGAGACTCTGTCTCAAAAAAATAATAAATAAAAATAAAATAAATGCCAAGTTAGACCTTAAAGTGAAAAAAAGGAACACTAATGCTGCCTTATTATTTTTTAAATGTCAGACACAGTGGAATTCATGCCAAAAAGTATTAAGCAGGAAAAAGGAGGTCATTTTACACTGCTAAAGGATAAAATTCACAAGAAGAATGTGACGTCACTCTTTACATTCTGAACATTCTTTCACTGAAATAAAGCCCATAATGGCTAGAAATAGAGAAGAAATGACCAACACTTCATAAACATCTCTCTCTCCAAGAAGATAGGGGTAGGGAGGATATACAAGCATAGGCCCCATGTCCATATTAATTTTATTTTGTATTGATTACAGAATCTGACCAATAAAATGAATAAGGCTAATATAATAGATATGAAACTTTGCACCCCACAGGAAATAGCTTCATTTTCAATGGCTAAAGAGCATTTACAAAAAGTGACCATCTATCATGCCACAAGCAAAATTTCAAACCCCACAAAAAAAAGGAACATTTCAGCTGGGCGCAATGGCTCATGCCTGTAATCTCAGCACTTTAGGAGGCCAAGGCAGGTGGATCACCTGAGGTCAGGAGTTTGAGACTAGCCTGGCCAACACGGTGAAACCCCATCTCTACTAAAAATACAAACAATTAGTCAGGCGTGGTGGCGGGCGCCTGTAATCCCAGATACTCGGGAAGCTGAGGCAGGAGACTTACTTGAACCTGGAAGGCGGAGGTTGTAGTGAGTTGAGATGATGCCACTGCACTCCTGCCTAGGCGACAGAGTTAGACTCGGTCTCAAAAAAAAAGGAACGTTCCTATTCCTATTTCTCATTGCCTGATCACAATGCCAGAAAGAAATAAAAATAATCAAGAAAGTTTTTAACAACTTCCACTTTAAATCTTTTTCCTAAATAACCATTGAGTCAAAGGAGACATTGAAAACTATAAAAATATCTCTACATTAAAGAAGAAAAAATAAGTAACAAAATGTACTAAGAAGGAAAAAAGAAATTAAAGAGAAGAGAGGGAAATGAGCTAGAAAATAAGCAACAAAACTGATAAATTTGATAAACACATCCAAAAGTGTTCTTAAGCCTCCAGAGGCCGAGGAGAGCAAAGACCTTCCCCTTAAACAGGCACCAGGCCTAGGTGGTTTTGCAGGCAAATATTTCCATGGCATCAATATCCACAATATCAAGGCATAGTCACACTGCATGCTACTCGGAGAGCTGCAAAGCACTGGAAAAGGATGAGAAGCTTATCAAAATCCAGTATAACCCTGATCCAAAAGTTGACAAAGCACAAGGAAAACAGAAAAGTTAGTATTTTGATAACTCACATCAACAGATAGGAAGAAGAACTATAAGGTCAAAAGAAACCAAAAAGGCAGGCCAGGTGCAGTGGCTCACGCCTATAATCCCAGTACTTTGGGAGGCTGAGGTGGGTGGATCACCTGAGGTCAGGAGTTTGACACCAGCCTGGCCAACATGGTGAAACCCTATCTCTACTAAAAATACAAAAAAAAGTTAGCTGGGCCTGGTGGCGCACGCCTGTAATCCCAACTACTCAGGAGGCTGAGGCAGGAGAATTGCTTGAACCTAGAAGGTGGAGGTGGCAGTTGAGCCAAGATTGCGCCACTGCACTCCAGCCTGGGTGACAGAGCGATACTCCGTCTTAAAAA